TTGAATGAAATGACTTAGTAAATTCTCTGTGATATTTATCTATAATCTGAATAAGAATTTGGGTTATTGTTGTTGAATGTTCGGGCTTGCCTAGCAGTGTGTTGGGCGCCATCATGATCGGGGTTGGGGTCGTGACAAGTTGGTATCAGAGCCTAGGTTAATTGGTCTTGCGAGTTATGAGCCGGTTTAGTAGAGTCTCGCGGATCGGTACGGAGATGTCTGTATTTATCCTCGAGAGGCTGCAGAACCTTTAGGAAAACTTCATATTCTTGAAATTCTTGTCGTGCGACTTTGTTGATCTGAACACTAAAAATTTCTGTCATTCTATTCTCACGCAGATAGAGAGGACTCGTGCTACTGGACGAGGCGGACGACCACTAGTGCCACCCACTGATTCCACCAAAGGTCGTGGATGCGGTCGTGGGCTTGGCAGAGTAGAGTAGCGCGGGCAGCACCTGTTAATCCACCAACTGCCCCAGTTCCAGATCAGGCTCCAGCAGTTGTACCAGTTCAAGCACCAGCTATGCCTATTGTGATTCCGGGTCTTCAGGAAACCTTGGCTCAGATTTTGATAGTTTGCACTGGCCTAGCTTAGGCGGTCTCAGCCACTACAGCCGCAGCTACTTCACAGGCCATGGAAGGCACCTAGACTCCTGTTAATCACACAACTGAGCAGGTTGTGCAGGGATTGCAGACACCGGAAGTTGTTCCAGCTCAGCCGGTTGCACCAGTTCAGAACCTTGTAGCCCCAGCTATGCTAGATGATGAACAGCGTCATCTCGAGAGATTTGGTAGGCTCCAGCCTCCGACATTCAGTGGTGAAGAGGGCGAGGATGCCTAGGATTTTCTCGAAAAGTGTCAGCGTATGCTTCGCACCGTAGGGATTTTGGAGTCGAGTGGTGTATCTTTTACTACATTTCAGTTCTAAGGAGCTGCATTTACTTGGTGGGAAGATTTTGAGAGGCGTAGACCTATTGGTGCAGCGCCCCTTACTTGACAGCAGTTCTCCACTCTATTTCTGAAGAAGTATGTACCTCAGTCCCGCAAAGAGGAGCTGCGTAGGCAGTTTGAGTGGTTGACTCAGGGAGATATGTCCATGACCCAGTACGAGATGAGATTTTCACAGTTTGCTCGTCATGCTACTTGGATGATTCTGACGGATCGTGAGAGGATCCGGAGATTCGTGGATGGTCTTAACTGCTCTCTCCGCATTTTGATGACTAGAGAGAGAGTATTGGGTGTTTCGTTCGAGGGTGTGGTTGACATTGCTCGTGATATTGAGATAGTTGTCCTCTGAGAGAGAGAGGGGATGGAGGCCAAGAGGCCCAGAGGTTCAAGCAGTTTCAGTGGTGCTCCGTCTAGGGGCCAGTTCCAGCGTGGTAGAGGTCGTTCCTACAGACCTCCTCAGCCGGCCTGTCCAGAGTATAGTAGGACATCTTCAGACCGTGGTCATCAGGGATTTCAGCAGGGCCAGTCTTTACTTAACTCTCTCGCAGCTCAGAGCTCATCTTATGCCCCTTCAGTTCAGGGTTCATCTGCGCCGAGTGCATCGGCTGGTCATTCAGGTGTGGGGGGTTCCCTCCAGTTCCATTCTCCAATACATGGTAGTTGCTACGAGTGCGGAGAGTTTGGTCATATAAAGAGGCAGTGTCCTCGACTTCGTGGTGGTCAGTTTCAGCAGAGGGGCCAACCTTCGTCTTCTGCTCCAGTTTCTTCAACACCCACCCAGTCAGCTAGGGTGGAGGTCAGGCATCTAGGGGTCGCCCCAGAGGGGGAGGTCGATCAGGAGGCAGCCAGGCTCGTTTCTATGCTATTCCAGGCAGGACATATGTTATTGCTTCAGATGCTGTCATTACAAGTAATGTTCCAGTCTGTCACAGAGATGCCTCTGTATTATTCGATCCCGGATCCACCTATTCTTATGTGTCCTCATATTTT